TCCATATGCATGCGTTGCATCTTCCAGGGGGTAAGGTGGATTCCCACTGCTGCCTCCCGCTCCAGGGTGCGTTCCGCTGCAGGAACTCATGCACAAACCACTCCCACCACATTTCCATGCCGGCAGGCTTGCAGCAGGCAGCAGTGAGCACAGGAAAGCCCCCAGACCCCGGGGCTCAGCAGGGTGCAGCTGTGGGAGCCTCGGAGGGGCTCAGCAGCTCAGGGCAGGCAGAGCCAGCTGTGCCTGCCTCCCAGGGGACTCAGCCTGGCTGTGCAGCAGGGGCAGCAGAGCAGGAGCTGGGAGCACGCCAGCCTGGCCAGGACACCGCTGCTCTGTGCCCCTCTGTGCCCCCCAGCCAGCACAGCCTGCTGCTAAAAACACAGATTTTGGAGCCAGGCACCCCTCCTGTGCGCTCTCCACCAGCTGGTCTGAGTGCTCCAGCAGTGCCACCCCTGGAGCCTGCTCGGGGCCGTGGGGACACTGGGACCTGGCCAGGGACTCCTGCTGCTTTTAGGAAATGCAGCACACACCTCTGCACCAACGGTAGCATGTCTAGGTATCAACAACGAAAATATTTGGATTGCTGCAGATTGATTTTTGATTGTTTGGTTTTGATTGTTGAGGATTTCCAGCTGGAAATCTTTTCACTTCTGAGAGCAACTTTGTCTGAGATTGAACCCAGTGATTCCACAACTTGGGTATCCCAATGAGCAGAGGGAAATGGGACTCTTTGTAGAGCACTTATCTGGCCTAGAAAAGTGAAAAATTTGTGGTAGCCATTTTTGTAGGAAAAAATAAGTTGTTGCTACACATCACAGGACTCCACAACAAAAACATACTGTACAATGGTCACACTCAAAAGCAGCTGTCAGGGAAAAGAAGCAAAGCACAACTCATTGTATTTTGTTGTAAACTTACACCTTTTCACCATTTAGAAACAAACTGAGGGATTTGAGTAATAGAACACAGAGAAAAGAAATACAGATGTGGTCAGATTTTTTCGTAGGTCCTGCAGTGTCCCACAGTTAAGATAAATTTGAGGTCAGCCTCTAAAGGAAGCCATTTCAAACACTGACAGTTCATAAAGAGCATTTCCTTTTTGATAGAGATAAAAATTAAGTCAAATTTATTGGGACTGCTATTTCCATTCTGACTCCGTAAGGGGCAGTTACTGCCACTAAACAGAAGACACCTTCCTACATTATTTTTTAGGGAAGAGGCAAAAATTAAATGCTTTCAAATAAATTTTCTTTTCCATCTTAGGCATATTGTTATGTTTTCATTCACTGAATGTTCAAACACGCTTCTTTTTTTCTCCTTTTCATTTTACAAGTGCTCTTTGGAAGCAGAAGCAGCCGCAGAGCACAAAGTTGCCAAGCCCAGAGTGTAATCATACTCACACCCTGCCTCTGAGAAAGGGGCCAGGCGGGCAGAGGATATAACAGAGAGAAGATAAATTGCTTTTTGTACCCCTTAGTGGCCGGACATCAATGCTGCAGCTCTGAAAGCTGTCTTTCCCAAAAAAAAAAAAAAAAAAAAAAAAAAAAGGAGATTAGGATTGCAGCTATTCATGGAAGAAGAAATATGTTAAAAGGAAGGTTTTAATGAAGAAATGGATGAAAGACTTCCAACTACAGGAGATTAACGTTCTTATCATATAAACTCTTACTGCAAAGCTGAGAGAAGGGTGGGAGGGGAGAACACTCCTCTAAAGACATGGAAACTCTGACACTGAAAATGAATTCCCTGCATTAGTGCACATTAGTTTGTAATGGCTCCTTCTGCACCCTTTATTAGGGACTCCTAAACTTTAAATAAAAAAAAGAAAAAAAGTGTAGATCACACCACAGACATAGATTTGCTGATTTATCCATTTTTGAGACACGCTGTGAAGAAGGCAGGACCCTGTAAGCACAGCAACCAGCAGCATCATCAGGCAGTTTTCTGACAGGAAAACCACCAGGACAGGTGGGAACACACAGGTACCTGCTCCTGCCTTTGGCAGGGAAAGCAGGAATTTCACAGAAACCCTGGTGTGGCTCAGTGTGGCATTAGACAAGCAAACCCAAAACCTGACAGACACCTGACAGCCTCGGGAAGGAAGCAGGGCAGGGGGGAGGCAAGGCCCCAGGTGTGCACGGAGCACTGGTGCTCATGGAGCAGCCACACAGCTGTGGGATGGCAGGTGAGGAGCAGCAGGTAAACCCTGATCTGCCACCAGCACCCAGAGCATGCCACAGCCCAACAACCTCTCCTTCCTTCTCAACAGGTGCTGGGAGCTGGGGCTGCAGAGGGCAAAGACTCCCTGAGCACCAGAGGCACCAGGACAGCAGCATTTCCTTACAGGGAATATTGAAGTAATAACGCTGTTAGACAAGAGCAGGCTGGGCAGGTGCAGGGGAGTGAACAGCATGAGGAGATGTGTTGATGATTCTTCTCCGTGTGTGGAGACACGAGGCTTGACTCCATTTCAGAAGGCTGATTTATTATGTTAGATATTATATTGAAATACTACATTAAACTATACTAAAAGAACAGAGAGATCAGAGGGCTACAACAAGAAAGAACAGAATAACAAAATGCTGTGACTGCTCACAGCCTTGGCACAGGTGGCTGTGATTGCTCATCAATGGAAAACAATCCACATGCACCAATCACAGATGCACCTGTTGCATTCCACAGCAGCAGATAGTAATTGTTTACATTTCTCTCCTGAGGCTCCTCAGCTTCTCAGGAGAGGAAAAATCCCAGCAAAGGATTTTTCATAATATCATGGCTACAGAGATGTGCTCGATTCCTCCCCTGCAGGAGCTGTGTGTGACGCAGTGGAAGCTCAGCATCTCTGCCCAGGGCCTCAGAGGTGAAGGCAGACTCATCAAGCACATCTGGCTGCTCTCACCCTCAGAGGACTGCTCGTGTTTCAGTTCCCTTTTCCACGGGAAGCAAACCGGACACCAAGCACCACAGCACTGCCACAGGCAGCTCCAGGGGAGAAGGCAAAGGCAAGAATTCCTGAGTTCTTCCTGCTGTGATCATCCCTACTGATACCACAGGCCCTAAAATTGTAATTTATGTGTAGTGTTGTCACCAAAATACCTATATCACTCCCCAGAAACCCTGAAAACAGAACCGTGCCTGTCCCAAAATAGTTTCAATGAATGAGCAGAGACTATATCTGAGAGGGTAATTTGCCAATACAGATATTTTTAAAATACACTCCTTTGAACTGAAAATTTTTATGTTCATGTTTCAGCAGAGTCATGTATAGAACTGCAAAATCCCAGAAGGGTTTTGGTTCCACGAGGCCTTAAAGATCACCTTGTTCCAAACCCCTGCCACAGGCAGGAACACCTTCCCTTAGACAAGTTACATATCATTGTCTGTAGGTTGAGAGATACAAGCTCAGTAAACAAATTACAGTTACTGCACGCTAGGAACATTTATGGCTTCTCTTCCCTACAACTACTTTGATTTTTCATTATGAACACATATCTACAACACAATTTATTCTAAGCCTATGTCTTTGCATGGGGATCACAGTCTGTGTTAAGAAAAGGAGCAACTAAACCAAACTTTTGTGCACCAGAGCTACTTGAATTCTATGCACCAGAATCTGGAGGGGTTTGGAGAAGGTTCTGGCCTCCTGTTGAGAACAGAACCAGAGCAGGAGAAGAGCACGTGTATTTATGACCTCGCAAGACTGCCTTTGACTGCCCACTACAACATCTCAAAAACTGTTCATATACCCTACACTCTACAAAACAATCTTAGTTCTGACCAGTGTGACCCAGTCACACAGTGCAGGGAAATTCCAGCCCTGCTGTCTGCTCTGAATGTGGCTTGCTTATTGCCAACATTCACTACAAACCAGAAACATTACAATGTTTGTCACAAAAACGTGGCATAACTCAGCAGAAACTGCCCCCTGGTACCAAACATCCATTTGATTTTTAACAGCCCCCTCAGTCAGCACTGGCACACCTGCAAGGCAAGAATTGCAAGGCACTTCTTGGAAACTTTTTAAAGATTTGTAAGGAGGAAAAAACAGCATGAATTCCAAATGTGGTGCTTATTAGGGCCTCTGACACACTGACAGAGTGCTTTATGTAGAAGTCTGTGCAGCCACAAACTGTGCCAAGCTATGCAAAACCACACACAACTCCAGCAGAAGGTTATCAAGCATTTATGGCCCTGAAATATGTGTTTCACCAAAGCAGAAGGTGAAGCCTATTCCTCGGCTCCTCCCTGTCAAACAGTGCAGCAGCATGTGAACTGTTTATAGACACTCAGACAAAAAACTCCACTGAAGCCAGCCTGCAGACCTGTGGCTGATCACCCACAGTCTGCAGCTGCTGGTGACACTGCATGTCACACACAGTGCTTACCACAGACACCTGCTGAAACTCCGTGGCACTGACCACCACCTGGATGGACCTTCTGGCTGTAATGGGGAGGAATGTTTATCAAAACACCAGAATGGCAGACTTCAGTGCCTGGGGAGAAACCTCTCCGAATTCAGGGCAGAATTCACATGAGAAAAGTCAGCCAACTGCAGATGAACAGCCCAAACTGTCAAGAGTGCAGAGGGGGCAGTCACCTGCTGAATTCAGGCAGGGGAAATGCTCAGGTCTCCCCTCTGCCCCTTGCTTCCTTCCTGCTACAGCTCATCCCTGTCCTGAGCTGAAAGGTCTCTGGTCTGGCACACAGCAACCTCTTATACCCTCTCAAAACCACAAAATACATGGCAAGGTTGAAAAGTTCACAGTATAAATCACTCTGATATTCCTTCTGAATTTCTACCAGGAAAAATGCTGTTTTTCCTTCCACATGCCACGCTGCTGAAACAAAGGTATTGAAATGGAACAAATAACGACCATTTCATTTGCCACAGCTTTGCCAGGAACTCGCTTGCTTTCTGTTCATCTTTCAAGTACTGACACCGGCGTCACTGCAGACAAATTGCTGTCCCCACACCAGAACAAACACGGCAATAAGAAGCACTAACCTTTCCTGACAGGAGTGGCACAGCCCTCGAGGTTCAGCATGATGTCTCCATCCCTGTCATCAGCACCAGCTCCCAGGAGCATCCAGCTCTCGATGTCATCACTGTCAGAGACCAAGCTCTCCTCCTCCGAGCTGCTGCCTATCACCAGCACATCCTGGGGGGCCTGAGGTCCAGCAGCAAGGACTGGGGCAGGCCTGCCACTGCTGCTGCCTCTCGGCCTTGGTGTGCCCACAGCAGACCCAGGGGGACACAGGGCATCACGTCCCGCAGCTCTGGTGTGCTTTGGTGTGGAGGAGACCGGCTGGGTGTGCGCTTTCCCTTGAGCTGAAGGGCATCTTGATCTCTTTGCCTTGCTTTTGTAGATGCTGTCTTCATCTGGGGTGTCAGACAGGACGATGACCTCGGGCTCCTCTGTGAGCTGAGTACCACCATCAGTGAGCTCACTGAGGTTCTCATCTTCATCCTCTTTCTCAGTTAGACCTGAGCTTTGACCCACGGCTTCTCCAGCATCAGCTTCTTCATCCCTTTCCAGTGTGCTGATTTCTCCAAGATCCTGGGAGTAGTGGATCTGGCTGTAGAGATGAAACTCCACCTCACTATCAACACTCTGCTCACTGGATGACTCCTCAGGATAAAGTTCATCTTCATACACTTCAGCATTCTCAGGATCATCATACCCAGTAAATATTCTGGAAAGCAAGGAGTCTGAGTCTACAAAAAAAAAAAAAAAAAAATCAAACAGTAACATCAGAATGGTCATATATCCAAAATAAGCCTTCAACTGATACCTTTGGTCTTCTTGAAATTGCTCGGGTGAGTCTGAGAGGAGAGTCTGAGGTGAGTCAGGAGAGCAGAGCTCTGCACACAGACCATCAAACTGAGCAGGTTCAATAGCCACCCGTGCTCCAATGTGGAACAGCAAAAGCTACTGAAGGATGCATTTGCATCAACCATCACTACTACTTCAGCTGGACTGCTGTGGCCTCTGAAAGGGGCATTACTGAGCTCTCCCCTGCCACCCCAGGGAGGCCACCTGCTGCTCACAGCCCACACCCAGTGTGCTGTGCACTCCTGGGCCCTCCAGGCTGGAGTGAGTGCACAAGGAGCCACTAAAGCCACTGAGGGATTGGAACACCTGTCCTCAAAGGTCAGGCTGGGACTGCTGCTGCACAGGGAGGGGAAGCTCAGAAGGATTTACCCAGGCTTTGTCCAGGCTCACAAACACCCAACGGGGCAACGGGAATAAACAAGACAGAACGACCACAGCACCGCCCAGCAAGAACTGGAAAGGAAATGGACACAAAATAACAAAATACGGGGAATTTCACTTAAATGTAACTCTGTTGCCCACAAAGGCTGCTGAGCCTCCATTCTTGAGGACCTCCAAACCTCAGCTAGGCACAGCCCTGAGCTCCAGGTCCCTCCGCTTTAAAGCAGGGCTGAAATTGCCCGAGGCTCCTTCCCACCTCAGCCCAGGGGTGAGTGAGTCCAGAGCTCACAGCCTGCTCCCCTGCCAGACTGGGATTTTACATCTGGATATTCAGGGATGTTCTAAAGTCACCCTGCCTCCTTGAGAGACGACCTTACTTTGTGTTATGACCACATGAAGCACGGAGCATAGGACACGGGACGCTCCCTCTAAAAGTCTGTCTGTGTTTCTGCATTACAGCTGCTCCCATGGAAGTCATCCAGCTTTTTCTAGACATGAAAACTGCCAGATGAAGTTCAGCTTTTTGGCTGGTGAGGAAGAGTTGCATGGGACTGTTTAAACCCACTTAGCTGGACACACATACAGAAGTTCAGGTTTGTGAGCTGTGTACAGATGTAGCTTGTGTGACAATGGCATTTGAAGAACCCAAAGGTTCCTCTCTGCTCTTACCCAGGTTCCTAAGCAAACATAACACCTGATCTGCTAAATATGTGAAAGAACAAGGCGGGAAGTAGAGACAATAAACCTACTTTACACCACTACCTACTTTAGATGCTGTAGAAAGGAAGGAAAATGCAAAGGCACCAGAATGGCTGTAGCTAGAAAAACATGTAACAGACCAAATGAAGGTCCCAAACTTCAACATTTTTGTCAACTTCACAGGGGGTCCCTGTTTCAAACAGGTTGGAGCCTGTTCCCACCCACACAGGGAGAACAGAGCTCCAATCAAGCACATTCACAATATTAACATGTGGCTATGAGGTGTGAGAAGAGGCCTTCAGCAATGTAGGAAAGTAACACATCCTCCTGCAGATGTTTTTAGTGAGCTCCAAAACAGAACCCAAGTACTCCTCCCTGCCCTTCTGTCCCCAGGGGACAGTCACACACAGTAAGCAGTGACCAGTGCTAAAAACTGAGCAACACTGGTGTCTCCCAAGCATCCAGGGAGCTGACTCATGGACACTTCACAGGGCAGGCAGCAGCACAAACAGGCAGCAATATGCACTCACTTTGATCCATGCTTCTCACAAGGTCAAAGCACAGCTCCTCCTCCTCCCAGGTCCACTCGTGGCTGGGATAACCAAGGGCTCCTCTTCCTGCTCAGGATGCACACCAGGCCACTGGGAAAGAAGAAACATCCAACATCAGCACCACAACAGAGCCTGAGCACCTGCTGCCCACCATGCTCACCCTCACAGCCATGCCCTTCCTCCCAGGAAAGGGAAACAGCCATGTCAGGAATCCCACACCACAGCACACACACAGCCTCAAGGACAGGGAAGAGAAGCTCAACAAACTCTGGCTGTTTTCCAGACTGTCAAACTGAAGCAGTCTCACAGAGGTAACTCAGAGAAAGACCTGACTGCAACTTCAGGTTTCCTTTTGCCAGTGAAAAGTTTAGACTATGGGCAAACACTCCTTTCCATAGAACCACAGCAGGGTTTTGGCTGGAAGGGATCCCCAGGGCCCCTGTTCCCTCAGCTGTGCTCACCTCCAAGTGCCACACCTACCCTGCTTCCAGCTGGGCTATCAGAAAGACACTCCTCACCTCTGAGTCTGCAGAGCACATTACAAATATTGGTCCTGCAGAGACTACCTGATCTGACAGGCTGCAGGGAGCAACAGCTCACTCACACATCCTACTTTGGAACTAGATTACCCTACCTTAATTAAAAAAAACCCCAAACTTCAAACCCTTGGCAACAGGAGAACCCATCCCTCCATGGAGAGGAGCTGCACTCCCAGCTGAAGCCAAGCACACCTTCCTCAGAAGCACCTGACTGCCTCTCAGGTACCCCCAAAGTAAGGACCACCTTCAAGTCCAAGTACAGGGCTACCAATGCTGACATTAAAAAATCTCAGACATCTATCTGAGCTCCTTCTAACCATTAACAAAACTGCAAATGGCTGCAGTTGGCATCGACAGGGATAACTTTCAAAAACTGCCTGCCAGCATTTTTCACCTGGGCCACAAGAAACCTGACATCCCCCAGGTGATGCAGGAGTGGCAGCAGCACCAGGCAGACAAAGGGGAGGTGCCACTGGGAACTCAAAGCAGGGAGGAAGAGCAAGGCCAACAAACAATTAACAAACAAGTTAATTAGACACCTCAGCCACAATCCCAAGCAGGTTTGGGATGCTCAGGGCTCCCCCACTGGCAGAAGGGACTCTGGGCATCCTTCCCATGCCATTCCTGCTCACCTGCCTCACTCTCCCTGCCAACCCCTCCTTCCCACTGCTGAACTCCAGCCCTTCTGCTGCTCCTGCTCTCCCAGCTTCCAGAGCTCCTCCTGCTCATCTCCAAACACTGAGAGCTCTTAAAAACCTCTGAACACAAACCAAAGCACAGAGACCTTCTTCCATTGCACAGACAAGTGCACTGTTCCCATCACACACCATCAGCAAGCCCCAAACCTTTCCTTATTTATCTCATTCTCACAGCCAAATCTAACCCTTTTGGATAACTGCTGCACTGAGAACAAACATGCTCTCTACTGCCCTGGAAGGCAAAACACACCCTGCTGTCAGGCTGTTACAGACTGCAACAACAAAATGGGACAGAAAAAAGGGGAAAGAAAGATTTTCTTTCAGGAAAATCACCATGCTGTCCACCTAAACACGGGGTCAGATACCAGGACAGCAGGAGCAGCTTTAAATTGAGTTCCATTTGTGACACAGACTGCCTGCTGCTTCAGACTGCTGAGACACTGCAAGGGCACAGACAGTATGAAACTGGCCATTTAACCCCAGAGCATGTGAATGAAACCTTTCAGCTCAGCTGCTGTAGCTGCTTTTGCACCCTGCATTGCCTGGATGAGAAAATCATCACCACGAAGCTCATGACTGCAAAGAAAACCCCATCTGGGAAGATATGAAAACATCAAACCTAAACGTCTGTACAAAAACCTACCCAAAGATACATTTATTAACAGAGGGCAGTGTCAGGAGACTGCTTTTCTTCCCCTGCTCTGTTTCTGCAGCTGGTGTGACTCCAGCCGGGCTGGGCCCCACGTGGTTCTCAGAGCCCTCACCTGCTGCCCAGGTGAGACTGCAGCTGCAGCCACCTGGGGCTGCCCGGCCTGCAGAGGAGAAGTGTCAGGGGGTGGGCTGGGAGCAGCCTCTGCCCTCATCTTCCACGACCTAACAGTGACTTTTGGCTAAATACTGAGATGCAAACCCTGTCCTCGTCCCATTTGCACTTTGAGGAGACACAACTGCTCTGGACTTTCTCTAAATGAGGTGCAAAGAGGTGCAGAGCTCTCTCTCTAAACGAGGTGCAAAGCTCTCTCTCTAAATGAGGTGCAAAGAGGTGCAGAGCTCTCTCTCTAAACGAGGTGCAAAGAGAGGAGCAAAGCTCTGCAGAAGAAGCCAGCACTTTTCTAACGGCAGCAATACCTTCAAGAGGGGAACGTCTCTTCCACACCCGAACCTGGAAAACAAGAGAACATTCCACGTTTACTCCCTGCCTTGCGGCAGACGCTTTCCTCCCACAGGCCCTTTCCGAACCCTGTTTTCCCGGGACGCCAGGGCAGGACGGCCCGGAGGGGCGCACACCGGGCACCGCCCGGGGCTCTCCGGGCCGCCGGGGCCGCCGGGCACGGGCTTGCTGCCCGAGGGCACCGGGGCACCGCAGCCGGAGGCCGGGCCAGGATCCCGGCCCGGGGGGAACAGGGCCGGGGCTGAGGGGAGCGGGATCCCGGCCGGGCTGCGAGGGGAGCCGGGTGCCGGTAGTCGCGGACGATACTCACTCACTGCCGACACCGGAGCCCAGTCGGTATCAGCACTCGGTACCGGGACGGACGGACTGAGTGGCTGCTGACCAGCCCACGGCCGGTGTCGGGGCTCCGTGCCGGGACCCGCCGGTGCCGGGGCTCCGTGCCGGCCGCGCCGGGACCCGCCGAACAGGAAATGGCCTTGGCCTGGCCCCGCCGTCCGGCCACGTGCTTCCGGCCCCGCCCCGCGCAGCCGAGGCCCCGCCCCGCTCCCCTCAGCCCCGGCCACGCCCCTCAGCCCCGGCCACGCCCCCAGGGCTTTGGGGAGAATTTACCGAAAATCGGTAAATCGGGGGTGGAGGTTTCCAGAGCCTCGCGTCCTGCCCGCTAGCACAGTCCTGTGAGAGGACCGCGCCTCCATGTGCGGAGCGGACAGCGTGAGCCGAGGAGAGACGGGCTGGGAAAGGGTCTGAAAGATCATCCAGGCCCTCGCCATGGAGGGGAGACTGGGACAGGGACAGGGACAGAGGGGCTGGGACAGGGAGAGGCACAGGGACTGGGACAGGGACTGGGATTGGGACTGGGACAGGGACACAGGGACTGGGACACAGGGACTGGGACTGAGACTGGGACAGGGACACAGAGACAGGCACAGGGACTGGGACTGGGACACAGGGACGGGGACAGGGACTGGGACTAGGACAGGGACAGGGACACAGGGGCTGGGACTGGGACTGGGACACTGGGACTGGGACAGGGACTGGAACAGGGGCTGGGACTGAGACTGGGACACGGAAAGGGACACAGGGGCTGGGACTGAGACTGGGACACGGAAAGGGACACAGGGGCTGGGACTGAGACTGGGACACGGAAAGGGACACAGGGGCTGGGACTGAGACTGGGACAGGGACACAGGGACGGGGACAGGGACTGGGACAGGGACACAGGGACGGGGACAGGGACTGGGACTAGGACAGGGACACAGGGTCAGGCACAGGGAGTGGGACTGGGACAGGGACAGGGGCACAGGCACAGGGACAGGGACTGGGACTGAGACTGGGACAGCAACAGGGACAGGGGCTGGGACTGGGACTGGGACAGGGACTGGGACTGAGACTGGGACAGGGACAGGGACACAGGGGCTGGGACTGGGACTGGGACACTGGGACTGGGACAGGGACTGGAACAGGGGCTGGGACTGAGACTGGGACAGGGACACAGGGACGGGGACAGGGACTGGGAGTGGGACAGGGACAGGGACACAGGGACTGGGACAGGGACTGGGACTGGGACAGGCACAGGGACTGGGACTAGGACAGGGACACAGGGTCAGGCACAGGGAGTGGGACTGGGACAGGGACAGGGGCACAGGCACAGGGACAGGCACAGGGACAGGGACTGGGACAGGGACTGGGACAGGGACACAGGGACAGGGACACAGGGACAGGGACTGGGACAGGGACTGGGACTGGGACAGGCACAGGGACTGGGACAGGGACACAGGGACAGGCACTGGGAGTGGGACTGGGACTGGGACAGAGGGACAGGCACAGGGACAGGGACTGAGACTGGGACAGGGACACAGGGACAGGCACTGGGAGTGGGACTGGGACTGGGACAGAGACTGGGACTGAGACTGGGACAGGGACACAGGGACAGGCACTGGGAGTGGGACTGGGACTGGGACAGAGACTGGGACTGAGACTGGGACAGGGACACAGGGACAGGGACTGGGACAGGGACAGGGATGGGACAGGCACAGGCACAGGGACAGGGACAGCTGCACTCGAGTGGGGCGCTTCTAGCCCACTCCAGGCTGGCCTGTGCCATTTCCAGGGGCCCAGGGGCAGCCCGAGCTGCTGCGGGCACGCTGTGCCAGGGCCTCGCACCCTCGGCGTGAGGAACTGCTCCCACTGCCGCCTCCAACGCTGTCCCGCGGCAGTGAGACTCCCTTCCCCTCGCTCTGCCCTGTGAGCCCCCCTTCCCCTCGCTGTGCCTCTCCAGCCCTGTGAGACTCCCTTCCCCTCGCTGTGCCCTGTGAGACTCCTTCCCCTCACTCCAGCCCTGTGAGACTCCCTTCCCCTCGCTCTGCCTCTCCAGCCCTGTCCGCAGTCCCTCTCCTGCTCTCTCGGAGCCCCTGTGGACATTGGAAGGGGCCCTGGAGCCCCCAGAGCCCCCATTTCTCCAGCAGGACACCCCCATCTCCCCGGTCCCCGCGGTGGGTGTGGTGGCTGCAGCCCTGAGAGCGACACAGCGGCGTGTGCCTGGAGTGCAGGTAAGTGCACCTGAGCTGGCACATGCCCTGAGTGCTGCCAGCCCGCGGGACGGGTTTGCTGCAGCCACGCTGCCCGTGTCCCCCCGCAGCCACACCTGCCCCAGCAGGGCCAGCCCGCAGGAACCCCTCTGAGCGGGCTGCAGCACTTCTGGAGGGCTCTGGGACCTGCACGGGGCAGAGAGGGGCCCTGGCCCAGGCAGGCAGACATCCTGTTCAGTACTGCCAAATGGAACCACGCAGGGCTGTGTGTGGTGTGTTTCAGCTCTGGGGCCAGTGGCCCCACACCCATCCCAGTGAGCTCACACCCATCCCAGTGAGCTCACACCCATCCCAGTGTCTCCATGCTCCCCCTGGGGCTGTGGGCCCACACTCCCTGGTGCGCTTCCTGACCAGCTGGGCTGTCTGGTGTGTGCCTGTTTGTAGGGACCCTGCCTCCCTCCGGGTGCTGCCCCTTCACGGGGCATCAGGGAATGGGGCAGAGCCTGCAAGGGGCAGGACAGGCGAGCAGGGTTGAGTGAGAAGATGCAAGGAGCTGGGGAGATTCCAGCTGTGTCTGCTGCATCGGGGACAGTGTGTGCCTGTTACACAGAGCTGCTCCTCCACGCTGCCCCACTCCACTGGGGCCAGCAGGGCTGCCTGTGCAGGCACACGCATGCACTGGCACATCACTGAGCCCAGAGCTTTCATTTTCTGTCCCATTTTCTGTAGGGCTTTCAGACTTCGGGGGTTTCCTTAATGCACTGCTGGTACTCTATTTTCAGCATTACTGGCGTGTAATTACGACCTGTGATTTACCTCTGTGAACGCTAGCATGGGCACATATGTGTGGGCTGCAAAACTGCCTCGTGAAAGGCAGAATAATGTGTTTCTCTGATCCTCCAGGCTCTAGGTCTGGGAAGGAGTCAACAAATCCAACCCACAAGCAGAAAGGTTTTATCTTCTGGCAGAGAGCGAGTGGAACCTGATGTAGCTGTGACACCTGGCACTGGCCTCAGGTACTTTGCTCTGATCTTATCATGGCACCTTTCAAAACAAAAATGCTTTTAATGCTTCTGGATGTTATGAAACCTACTCAAATATATCAGGTAATTAATTGCTGTAACATATACGCTGTTAAGATGATTAAAAGATGAGCTGGAGCTGCAGAATGTTACGCAACTGTCAGGACCCTGAGGATGACCCCTGGAACCTGCGCTGTGTCTGACCTCAGTTTCCCAAATTACTGACCCTGAGCCCTCCCTGCAGGCTGCCATCCTGCCGTGGCCCTGGCTCGTCCCCAGCCCCAGGCAGGTGCCTGGTGCCTGAGGGTGGGACTGCCCTCTCCAGGCTGGGGTACTGGGGTGGGCAGTGGCACCGGGCCCTGCCCCATCAGCTCCCACTGCACAGCTACTGAAATGGTGTCAAACACACCTTTGGAGACAGACCTCAGGTCAGGTATGCTTCCCCAGAGCATATTTATAGAAACAGCAGGACAAAGATTAGACCGTTTGGATTTAGCACTGACTACAGTGGTATTTTTTTGCTTGCAAGGACCCATTCCTGCTGGTTCTGCCCCTGAAAGGAAGTTCTTTTGGGTGGCGTCATAGCAAAACGTCAGCAACTGCCTCTGAGCCATCCACTGCCAGTCACCTGTCAGATCACCCCAGGGCCACCAGGGTGTCCCCAGGGAACATCATTCACCCTGGAAGGCAGTGCCACAGCTCCAGTGCAGCCTTGCTGCAGAGGAGCAGACAGAGGTGCCTGCATTCAAGCCAGCAGGACTCAGGAGTGATCCTTGGGCCCTGGCACCTTCACACTTGCATCCCTTTGCCTCTCAGGCCAGTTGAGCTGGGCTGCTGCCTTTGTCTGTGAGCACTATTTCTTGGTAGGAGGGCAAACTTCACCCGCTGTGTGCCTGAGCCCAGCCCAGACTGTTCCCCTGCTGCCCTGAACATGCTGCCTTTGGCGAGCCAGTGATTCAGCCGAGAGGGGAGAGAAGCCTGGCACAGAGCCTGGGGTCCTGCTGCTGACGCGTGGCCAGGAGGCGAGGAGCTGTCGCTGCCTTGGCACCCCGCTGGGAGTGCTGAGCCCGGAGAATGTGCCCTGCTTTCTGAGCTGTTCAGGGTGGCAGGAGGCACCCCCCGGGCGGCAAGGCTGCGGGGAGCAGTGCGCTTCGGAGCAGCTGTCTGTGCCGCCGGGCTGGCAGCGTGTGCGGGGAGCGGGGGGTCCCGTCCAGGCTGCGGGGTCCCGGCGCTGCTGGGCCCGCTGGATGTGCTCGGAGCCACCAGCAGCCCTGCCAGTGCGGGGAAAGGAGCTCCATCCTCACGGCCGGCGGCCGCACAAACCCCGCAGGAGGGAGCGGGCCCGCCGCCGGCTGCAGGGACAGGCGGCTTTGCAGCAGCCTCAAGGGCCTGGGACACTGGGACACAGCTCTGTCTCCTGCAGCCTGCTAGATCGCGGGGGACCGCTGGAGACCGTCCTTCTTCCCACCTGTTATGTTTGCCCAATGATCCAATCACAAATAAAAGGCCAAACAAAATTAAATGTAACAATAATTTTAATGAAATTTAAATGAAATAGTTTTAAGTATATAAAATTGAATACATTTAGTAAATGGGCAGTATAATTTGGTTATAATAAAATATATTTTGGTTCGGGTAATGGCGCATAAGCAAAATTACCGCGGGGTACGGAGCGCGAGGGCTATTGATCACTGTTTCAATTCCATCAGCACGAATCACACCTATTTATCGCACACCGAAACCCGTATGTGCTGATAGAAGGAAAAGGAAGGAGGAGGGACGTTTCCCCGGGATGCCACCTACCGGGATGGCGAGCCGGCAGGTGACATCCCAGGGAAACGTCCCCATCAGCCTTTCTGCGAGCCCCATGCTGCTCCCCGGAGCACCCTCAGCCTCCACCCAG